CTTTAAAGGAATCCCGGAGAGTAATTCTGCTCCTGAAGTGATACGGTAGTTTGCGATAGAGTAATCTGTCTTGAGATGCTGAATTATTTTCACAGCGACAGGCCTATAGAATTTTTTGGCGATGAAATATTGGTACACACAGTATCTTTTGTATATGATGACGGCTATTGTCTACATATCGTTCTGTTCAATCGCTTTTTTTACAGCAAGTTTACAGTTCCTCAAGATGCTTCTCCATGATAATTCTTTTGATATTGAGAATTGAGAAGCATTTTCGTTTAGTTGTGAATTCTCGGAAGAGGGATTCTGGGATTCAGAAGGAAATGTTGGCGCTAGCAATTTAGGCAAATGAGATTCAGATAGAAACTGGTGAGAGTGACACTAACTGATAAGAAAACATTGGAATCGCTCCCAATCAATAAAATGTGTTTGCTAAGAATGAGCAAATGTGAAAAGCAAATGTTACTGCATCTCGTCGAACTCGAACGTGTCATGCACTCAGAAGAGGCTTGATCGCGTTGAAAACAACGTTACTGTATGCATATACTGTATCAATAGTTTACTCAATAATATACTCACAATCAGGTTTGTACTCTACAAGTGAAGATGTATAGCAAACTAAAGTATTTCGCGACAACTCCCCTATCCAATCTTCCCGTATATCCTTAGGACATCGCTCAGTATTCAGGAACGATAATGACGTCTAAATTTTACCCAACTAAATCAATATCATTTAGGTTGTTTCCGACCCACTCAGGTAATATCAAATGTAAAAAATTGATGCATTTAGGTTTAAAGTGAACGTTTGATGAGAGCATGGCATTCTGCTCGAAACATTTCAATAAGTTTTGCGAGTATATCAAATAATTTACTCCATGCATCTTCGGCCAACTGATCATCTCGATGCATACAAACACGTAGTACTGCGATCACAGCCGGTAGCATCGTCTGAAATCCTATTCGTTTCAGTTTCCAGTTTCAATGTAATGCTATGTGAACAACTTCAAATTCATCATGCAACAATACGCTTTCTAATGACGGTTAACTCAAATAAAGGCTCCTTATCCAGTTGCTGATGAGAAATACCATAAAATTGTTAATACTATCTGAACCTGTTAACGTCCATCCCATTTTATAACTGCTGCTGAAATGAAAGCAGTCCTCTTTCAGTAAAGACAACCTCTGCTTACACGCAACGAATTGCATTCAGAGAGGAGAATTGCTTCCAAACGGAACTACTACCCTCGTAGAGTGACATCGCTGCATTCCACTCTCCGACAACGGAGCTGATGTTTATAGTAACGGTGCAAGAGACTGTTTCATCAGATGGATCATTAAACAACAACCTCCAAATGAAAGCTGCGTACACCCCATTTCAAATGCGATTTCGCAATTTTATACGTTTCCTCGGCCAATTTCTCATCATCGTCCATACTGTCAATGATAACTTTGAGTCCATTCATATAAGCACACGCATGTCTTCGTAACGCATCCGATGACACAATGGAACTGTCAGGAATTGATCGGAATTGGGGCCAAATAGTCTTATATTCCGGATGTTCTGATAACAGCCTGAAAATGATAGAATTTATGTTTTATGATGCTGTAAATCGTGTACATATTTTAATTCATCAATCATTACTGCTGATATTTATGGCCACATTAATAACAAGTGATACTGAATAGTTTCTAGTCACTGACGATAAGATACACATTTTTATCATCTCCTTTCGATGCGAAACTTGTCGATTATACACAAGCAGCAATTTCAGTGATGCAATCAGATATCATCAGTGATCGCTCGAATGCATTCGGGCCCTCTCGTTGTCATTGCCAGAGACTTTTTTATATTCTGCGAGTAAACAACCGGAAAAGGATCAATTGTGGCATAAAACAACGATGTTTATGGCGAAAATGGACAATATTTTAGTATGAAAATACCTCACAAATACGCTGGTACCATAATATACTGAATTGGCTTGCATTAACTTGAAAGTGTTTTTGATAACTTCGCGTTGTTTTGACGTTAAACGATTCATTTCATTCGATACCATTGCGACTGAATTCGGTTCCAATTGAATATTGTTTTCAAAAAATGAAAATCAATTTCACTATATCAGAATAACTAGGGGAATTTTTTAAATTTAGAAATGCTGTTCTGATTAGAATATGATGAAATTGCCCACTTTATCACTTCAGTATGCCTTATGGGTTAATTTTTATCAACCTGATTAACCCATTTTATAAACCTTAATCATCAACTTTCAAACTGCCTTATGACATTTTATCCTGTTTGTTTTATGGAACAGTTCTAATCAGTGAAGCAAAAATGATCCCATTTTCTGAACATCTCAATGTGATCACAGGAAATAACCGAAGATAGATATCACTGATAAGATTTGCCACATGACAGGATGAGTGGATTATTCAGAATAATCTGCTGAAAAGTCATGAAAGAGTATGACTACTCGTAGGATTTAATTCAAAATTTAGCTCACCATTAGCAGAAGTGAATGTACCGATTCGAATAAGCTGATGTTGTGTGGTGGAACTAGTGCCGCTGTTAATACTGCTGTCACGACCAGAAGATACAGTTGATTGAAAACTCATTGGTGATAAAAGCGACGCTGAGCAGAATATATCTGAACTAGACTTAAACATTTGTTACAGATTATTTGAGTTTATAAATATTTGAATTATTTGCACATTTGAATTATTCGCACAAGCAATTTATAAACGATTTACAGTTATATCACATTTCCATTGTTACAGATCATTTGAATTGTTTATTTGACTGCATATTGGATGAATATTAACATGAGCTATCTTAAAACTTCACTTCTCTAGAACTATTCGTGATCAAGAATCGCTATTTCTCAGAGATACTCATTAGACCAGAATAAGTGCTTGACTGATGACCACTGATTGCATTCCTAACTCACAACCAAAGCAAAACAGGAAATATGGGTTTGGATATTGTAACGACGTATTTATTAATTTGCTATCTGTTAATTTGCTCTTATCGTATAGTGATAAAGGAACATTGATAATGGGATCGTTAACGACAACTTTGAAAGAGAGACTCTGAAACGAGGTGGAGAGTGAGGATCAATTGGATTTTACATGGTTATGCTCTGCGAAACTACTTTGATGAGACAAGTGAAGTTCAGTGTAAATGTGATCAACGACTAGCGAATAAATACGAACAGAGCAAATAACCCATATAACCTGCATGAAAATATCATAGCAAGTACCATCAAGTTATACGAACAGATTGAGGAATTTAAAACATTATGGTAATGAGTTTTATTCGCTTCCGTTGACTTAAGTGACGTTTCCGCCGCTATTGACCTAATGGATTTATGATTCAACGTGATACATACATACATGTTATCAAATGATTCTTTTTTACTTTACAGTGGGATATAATTTTAGAATCATGTAACCAATAATGAACAGTCAAAATTTATACGTTAATAACCTACGTTGAATGATTGGATCTATACCCATAATGAAGACGATTAGCTGCCAAACGAAGCATGACTCAGAAAATTCCAGAATCTACTGATGACGAAGAACATAATTCATCAGGAGGCCCTGAAATAGCAATTCTGAAGCTTCATTTATATTCTTCTTGCAGTGAGAGGACGAATTCTTAAAATAAATTCATGCACACAACAAACAAAACCGATTACGAAAACATATTTTGATTGATCTTAAACTATTCCCAGCTTCAAATTTGACGTTTGCCTGTGACATTATTTGATGTCATTGCTTCCAGCTTATTCACAGCTGTGAAGTGGTGCATTTCATGTCAACTAGAAATTCCGAGTTCTTGACAAAAATTTACTTGCCACATCGATGAACTACATGTGATCTATTAAAAATACGTCGTTGATAAAACAATTTCGTCTTACCATGATAGTACCATGCGTCGTAATACAATACTTCAATTTGAGTACAGTATTGTAATATCACCTGTATTATGACCGTGACCAATGCGCTCATTGAGAATTCTTTTGGTTGACATCAGCTCTTAGTGCTTCCACAAAATACATTACGAACCCAGCGGCTGTTTCATAATTTCGAACTATCTTACAATCACAAAGGTGCTTACCTGCAAAGATGAGACGAGACTGCATTGGAGGGACATCGATGTATTCTCTTTGGTTTTCACATTAATTCATTCGACAGGATTAGTCATTTCAATATCAATTATATCTCCACTAGTTGGCATTTTCTATATTTCCGTCATTTTAACTAGCTGTCAATTCTTGTTCAGTTTTCATCCACCCATAGTGTTTATTTATCTCCAATCAGCTTCTTTTCTTGCAAATTTCAGTCGACGTTCGCATGCCTCCGTTTCAAGTCGACCATTTGTCTAATGATAATGTGATATTTGGTCATCCTGCTCAGTCTAAATCTAAACATAAGTGGAACCTGAGCTTGAGTCCGAGCCTCAGCCTAAACCGTCAATCTATTCCACTATGAAAAGTTTGTGACTAAACATCGATGAAAGGATAGCATGATCGAAAGGTGCACCTCATTCAGCTCACCTTCTCACAAACCCAACAACATCTGAGTGAATATTTTCATATCTGCAGATCAACTCGAGGCAAGAAATTTCACTTCAGACTGGTATTCGTGAACACCATCTGAAGTCATCGAAACGGTGGTTATTACTTACTGTTAGGAATTACATATGTCGAACGTTTCAATTGTATCAATCCTCCTATCGTATGCGTTTCTTCTTGA